TGAGGTTGGCCCAGGACCGGGCAGTGTTTCGTTCTGTTGTACATAGGGTCGCTATGAGTCGGTATAAACTTGATGGCACCTAACAACAACATAGGTTTATTGAGGTCTCACTCTCTATGATCCATAAGTCCAGGGATGAGTATTCATTCTATAAGCATTAATTCCTTGCCTTACTGAATGATTGGCTATAAGATTTCTCTAAATCATGAGCATACTGCTGTTGGCAAACACTACTATATTTTTCATCAAAATGTGATTCAATTCATCCCCAAATCATGTCTATTGCATAAAAACCAGATACTTCAGTACTTTGAATAAAGATGTCTATGACTTTAAAAAGTTAAAATGTTTCTCATCATCACCAGTACAAAGGTACTAAATATAAAGCACAGGTACTGAATATAAAGCACTTATTCCTATATGATGTAAAATGGAAAATTATCAAACTCTTTCCATCTGAGCTTTGTAACTCACTGAGCATAGTGCAAACAAGTCTGCAAGGCTTTCTTTTGTTTTGAATACATATTGGAAATCATGGGATTATATCTATTTATACCTTTTTCTATTTAAATAAGCATATAAATATGCTTGATTGCTTCCCATTATTTAATAGTTCCCATAAGCTTTAGCTGTCAATATTAAACAGTAAGTAAGAATGAAAGTTCAAGTAAGGGAACCATCTGTAAGTAAGATGTGCCCATAAGAGTGTTCATCCTAAGGGAAACAAGCAATTTGAATTGCACTTGACCTATAAATATTTGTTGGTGGTTGTTGTGCACCACCGAAGCCTCATCTTTCTTCTGCAGAGCAGCTAATACATTCAAACTGCTGACCTTGCGGTTAGCAGCCCAGTTCATAATCCACTACACTACCAGAGCTCCTTTATAATTAATATACATAGATTATATTGATTCAGCAAGTCCTAAAGATTCTTGTAGTAAACTGTGGAGTGTGTTTACCTATGCTTAATCCATTTTCTTGTTTTAGCATAAAGAAATTTGCACATGAAATCACAAAATCTGAATTTAAAATCCAGCTCCTCATCTATAAAACTTTAAGTGAATCAAAAAATATTTCTGTTTTGAGGATTAAAAAGAGAATTGTTGTTGTTGTTAGGTGCCATCGAGTCAGTACCGACTCAGTGACCCTATGCACAACATAATGAAATACTGCCCAGTCCTGGGCCAACATCACAATTGTTGCCACACTTGAGCCCCCTGGTGCTGCCATTTTGCCAATCCAACTTGCTAGGGGTCTTCCTCTTTTTTTCTGACCCTCCACCTTAACAAACATGGTATGCTTCTCCAGCAACTGGTCCCTCCTGACAACATGTCCTAAGTATGAGAGAAGAAGTGTGGCCACCCTGGCCTCCAAGGAGCACTCTGGTTGCACTTCTTCCAACACAGATCTGTTGGTTCTTTTGGAAGCCATGGCACTTTCTATATTCTCCTCCAACACCATAACTCAAAAGCATCAATTCTTCTACAGTCTTCATTATCACTGTCTAGATTTTACATGCATATGAGGTTGTTAAAAATACCATGGCTTGCATCAGGTGCACCTTAGTCTTCAAGCTGACATTTTTGCTCTTCAAAATGAGAATTAGGGATATCATATTCTGGAGTGTGATGCATTCATCAGAAGAATGATATTAAATTGCTAAAATAAAAGTCATGGATAATATTTTTAAAGAGCATTGCAAAGTCAACCTATAATAATGGCCAAGTAAATTTGTTTCAGTTTACTGCTATTTACTTGTCACATTAATGGAGCTTTCTAAATGTTTCAAGAAGAAGAAAGAGAGCTCTTGACAACTATGCCCTGCACAAATAGAATCTTTAATCTTCCCTTAAAAGATGATTCTTAGGGTTCTATTTTCTAGGAAAAATACAGTTGTATTTCAAATCCAAGAAACCAAATTATATGATTTTGTAAGAAAATCCTCTGTTTGCTTTAAAGCATCTTCAATTTATTTGAGATTGTTGATGTTTTTAACTTTGTTTGTCATATATTTGCTATCAATATATTGCTGAGGTAATAAAGACATTAATTCTCTATGGTAAATAAATTACTATGATCAAGCAATACTTACCACAATAAGTTCATACAGAAACTTCCTTGTATTTTTATCTGCATGACAATCTTCCTTTAACTTCTTTACAACAGAAGAAACTTTTTCTGATTCCATCTCTGCTTGGATCTGATCAAAATCTTCCAGCGCCAGATGTGAATAACCGAGGACATGAGCTAAAACTTTCCAGTCAGAAACTTTTTCAGACACCAAGGTCAATACAATCGAATAGATATAAGTCAGATTTTTAAAGGGCAGAGATATTTGTTCAAGAAGATTCCTAGTTGTGAATACACTATCTGAGATAGACATTACTTGTTCCTTTGAAATAATTTTGACATTTTTGCAATGCACAAGTCCAATCTTGCCTCTGAGGATTCCCACATACCATTCTTTCACTTTGGAATGTCCCATGGCTTTTATCTTACCTTCTCCAAGAAGAGCTATTGTGTCCCCTTTGAAATATTCAAGTAAGTAGTCAATCTTGTTTTGTCTTAACACTGTCTTCAGGGTTACCCCATAATTGGTAAAGCTCAAATTTTTATCTTGAAATGTGGGATATTTAGTAAGCACTGTTGGAAATAATGGAGCCAATGTGAAGTTTTTCACCTCTTTCATATGGCCTGGCAGATTAGAGCACCTTTTTAGGTTTGGGGCTGGATCAGGTGTTGTGATAGAGAATTGTGCAATTGGTCTACCATCTGGAGATTCTACTTTAACACTGAAAACAAACAAATTCATTTTACTGGGGTCAACTAAAGAAAATAAAAATTGTTGATGAATTACTTCACCTGCCTGCAACTCTTTCTGTTTAATTTCTTTCCTTTCTTCTTCTACCTTTACTTCAAAATTAGGGTCACATGAGAAAACATAGATACTTAAATCTTGTGGCTTGTCAAGTAAAAATGAATGCTTACCCCAGAGCTGAAATACAACTGGAGACATGTTTTTTCCACCCCTCTTAATATCAGAAATTGTGAGTTTTTCTGGCATATAACTGTGTCCACAAACTGTGAAAACCGTAGTGAAACTGGGATGAATATATTTGGGTCCATAAATTCCAACTGAGATGGTTTTGTGGATATAATTCCAAATGATGGCAGCTGGCGATTGAACAGCTTTCATTTGCGCGGCAACCACAACATACATCACTTGGCTCAAGTCAGTTAATTTAACTTGGATGGTGTCTTTATAAATGTAGCAGTCGTTTAACACTTTGAAAGGTCCTTTCCTATCCAGGCTGTGTAAACACACAATTTCTGTCATGACTTGGCTAAAAGGATCGTTTCTCACTTTGGCTCCAGTTTTCATCTCCAACAAAATGGCTTCCATTGTGTTACGATTACCTAATTTGATTTCCAACAGTGGGCTTACGGTGCATGATAGGTCATGGTTCAGACTTTGTGGAGGATCAAGAAAAGCTCTTAAGGATACCTCCTGGAATTCCCCCACAGCTATGTGATCTTGGGGCACGTGCACTGTGATGTCTGAACCAGGTAATTGTACTGAACCTCCTAGATGGTTTAATTTACAAACAGTGATGGTCTCTGCAGCTTGTGTTTGGGCCCATCCTGGGCTCTGGTTGATTATATCCAAATCCAAACAAGAGCGGGCCAGCTGGCGTTGACTCAACCAAGCCATTTTATAAGCCTCTCGGTCATTTTGAAGCCATTCTAAGTCTTGCACCAGAATCTGATCAGAGTTATGTGTACTCTGATGGACAAGTGTTTTGTCATCTAAAATGTCCAAAAGTTCCGATACACTTTTAGACCTTCCAGATTTCCTTGAGGAAAACTGCCTAGGTAATTGATGGACATCAAGTTCGTCACCAGAGGAATCAAGAGAATTCCCAGTTTCTAGGTCTCTGAAAAATAGAAAGGGGTCTTCTTTCAAAATAGAAATATTATCACTTTTCTTGTTATTTCTTAACCGAGTTATGTCGTCCAAAAATGGATTTGAAGCTGACAGTTCATTCCAGAATGGATTTGTTCCTTTGGAAATGTTGCCGTGAAGGGTAAAATCTTCTGGACAGTTGAGAAGTACACCTGGGTCTTGACATTCTTGTTATTTGAACAAAAACAAAGCAAAACAAAACAAAGATGAAGTGGCATTCTGGGATACACACAAGTCTAATTTTTATTATAACTTAAAAAGTCCAGACTTAATTTTCATTTTACTTTTTGAACTACAGTCTAATAGCTTCACAAAGTTAATGTTAAATTTTGTCAGATTTGCATGTAGTGAAGTAAGGGAAATTGTATTCCCAGGTTATTTTGAACATATGTTATGTGATTTCAGAGTCCTGGTGTGGCACTATAGGACAAGCACTGGACTGCTAATTGCAAGATTGGTGTTCAAACCCACCTGTTGCTCCTAAGAAACCCTATGTATGGTTGCCATGTGTCGAAACTAACTCTACAGCATTTAACAGCTATTTTTTTAATTTTTATCCTGATTTATAAACTGAACAAATAAATGTTTAACAATGTAGATAATAATGAATTGAACATATTTTCCTAACAAAAACTAGCTTGCATTTGTGCCTTATTACTTTCAGTTTTGCCAAAGCTACACTTTTGAACAAAAAGAATAATTCAGTTATACAGATTTTTCTCAACTTTGAATTGTTCATCTCAGTTCTGACTCAGAGCTGTCCTGTGTAGGCTTTCCTAGACTTAAAATCTTTGTGGGAACAGACACCTTCATCTTTCTCCCATGGAGTGGCTAGTGGTCTTACATCACTGACCTTGTGTTTCCCAATTCAGGGCTTAGCCTACGGAGCCACAGCACTCCCATTGGTCTCATTACATCTAGATTACTACTTTAATATTTCTATTATCAGATAATAATCAATATGTGAAAAATATCAATACATTTTAACAGCTAAAAATATTTCTTAAAAACCAATAAACTAAGTGAGATAGTTATTATGCATTTACTATTTTCTAACTATTTTGCATTGATAAATTTTAATAATATGGACTTAAAAACTAGACCACATTGAGTTTGCTACTTGAAGGAATTCATTGAGTTTTGGGGAGCTTACAATGGCTGTGTTTCGTTCTGTTGTACCTAGGGTCACTATGAGTCATACCAACTAAATGTCACTTATCAGCAACACAATGGCAAAGAATGGTCCTACTGAATGTTTTAAAAATTAGCACTCCATTAAAATTAGTCTTGTTTCTATAATAAGCATACCACACAGTGTACTGTAGTGGTGGTATGCTGTGAAGTCGGTACAACTCATACTTGGCCATTGCTCAGCAAATAATGATGATAATTCTTCCAGCTTTGCAGAGTTAATGCTGCTTCAGAAAAAACGGAAAACCTAACCGGACAACCAAATTATCAGATGTTCTATAGAAGAAATAATTCAAGTTCACTGTTAGATATTTTTACAGTTGCTCAATACATGTAGACTATAATCTTGATTGAAATGTAAATGTGTTCTTAGTTTCATACATTAATAATTAGAAAATGCATTTTTTAAAAGTGTGATTTCTCTTATTTCTACACTTTTCTTTGATATAGTATCACCTGTTTTAAAAGATAATTTCGCTCTGAGGATTAGCTCAAATATTGTATACTGTATGGAGATTTTTTTAGCCCATTCCAATAACCAGATATCTGGTTGATCCCAGACTTCATCATTGAGTAAGTTCCACCTCTTAGCAGAGGCAGAATAGGATTTCCCGGTTGCAGTTGGTGGGTTTGGACTGCTGGCTTAGCAGTTAGCAGTCCCATGTTTCTCCTACAGCATCCCCCATAGGACTCCTTAAATAGTTACTAGTTATTGATTTTATTTTCCAACATAAAACATTGCTAACATTATGAATTTCTATACCTGTAATATTGCAACTTTTTGAGAGTTTTTGTGCTTCCATGTCAACCAAATGTCCTTCAGATCGGCTTCGTGAAATTCCTCCTGAACAAAAATGTGTTCTTGCACTGGGTGTCATTTTTCCACCTACAAAATAAGTAGATACATTTTTTCTTAAGCCTACATGTACTGATTGTCAGAGAAAACAATCCCAAAGTGGCCATACATTTACATTAAAAAAACTGCAAGTAAAAATATTCTACTTGGTTTTTCTAAGTATTGCAGGACGCTGGACTACATATCCTAAATATGCATTAGCACTACACTGAATAACACTCCAATGCTAAATTTATACCAACATGCATAGTTATATAAATGCATTACTAATCCCATAAGAAATTAACTAATGAAAGTCCTAAAGACAAGAAGAAGTAATATAGTAAGTTGAAACCGGAATAGACAATCTATAATTGGTGATTGGAAAACTCAACATCACAAAACTAGAAAGCCCCTCCCCCAATTTATGCATTCAATATACTAACAAGAAATATCCCAACATATTTATATGAGCTATGCATGTGTTTAATTTTTTGAGTTGTTTTAAATTCATACATAAAAACAAAGAGTTAATATTTGAGACAATCCAAAGAAGAGCATGAAGGTGGTGACGTGAGTTATTACCCTCAGTGAGATGGATGGACATGGTGGCTGCAACAATGGGCTCGGACACAGGAACAATTGTGAGGATGGTCCCAGACCAGGCAGTATTTCTTTCTGTTGTACATAAGGTCATATGAGTTAGAACCAACTTGACAACACCTCTAACAATAGCTAATAGTAAGTAAGACATATAGAACTGGAGCAGAAATAGACCAAGGTAACAGGATGGATGTTGTTGTTGCTAAGTGTGAGAAAGGGATTTTAGTAGGTTTTTAGTTACATATGTTTTATCCCTTTATAATCATTGTTCCAACATTACTTCCCTGACTAACTTCTTCCTTGTGTACGTGCTCCCTGGACATGAAACCGAAGGACTTAGTGGTGTATTATTGATGAAAACTCAGAAGAAAGAGAAAAGTCGGGGGGAGGAAAACCAGAGAGAGAAAGAGGAACCCAGGTGTCTTCTATAACACCATCCTTTGTCTGAAGGGAGAAAAGGGAATTATTCTCAGAGTGTAAAAGACTTTGAACTGGTGGAGTGTAGATTGCCCTCCTAGATGGAAAGGGGCATTAAGCTATGAGAAAGGAATGTGACAAAAGCAAATGGGTTAGTATCTCGGAAGGTATAAAAACTCCAACTGTATAGTGGAAAACAAGGCAGCCTTTGGAGAAGCATTCTTACTGTCTTCCAGATCTTACAATAAAATGTCTGTCGCTTTTCATCCCATCTCTGTTACTGGTTACAACAACTGGTAGTCTGACTGTCAGGTAACAAGTGTGTTGAATTGGTTCTGACTCATAGCCGCCATGGATAGGGTTTCCAAGAAGCAGATGGTGGGTTTGAACTATTGACCTTCTGGGTCACAGTTCAGTGCTGATCTTACAGTGCCACACCCGGATCCCAGGAAATAGGACAGAGACCTCAAAAACAAACTCTCTCTCAGTGGAAACTCAACATATGACACAGGGATGCCCATGCAGAGCATTGTCTAAAGGATTGACTATTGAATAAATTGTCCGTACTTAAAAAAAAGACTACAATGAACACTGTGTATTCCTTCCAAATTCTTTTGATGCTTTCTGCATCATTTAATATTTTGCCCATAGAATCCTTCAATATTTCAAGTTGAGGCTTGAATTTTTTCTTCAATTCCTTCAGCTGCAGAAATGCTGAGCATGTTCTGCCCTTTGGGTTTTCTAACTCTAGGTCTTTGTACGTTTCATTATAATATTAGGCTTTGTCTTTTCAAGCTGACCTTTGAAATTTTCTATTCAGCTCTTTTACCTCCCTATTTCTTCCATTTGATTGACCATTTCTATGCTGTAGAGATAGTTTCAGAGTCGCTTTTGACATTCATTTTGGTCTTCTACTTCTTTTTTGTCTCTTAATTATCTTTTGCTTTCTTCTTGTATGATGTTCTTGATGTCATCTCATAACCCTTCAGGTCTTCAGTCATTTGTGTCAATTCATCAAATCTGTTCTTCAGATGATCTGTAAATTCAGGTGGGATATATTCAAGATCATATTTTGTCTCCCGTGGGCTTATTTTAATTTTCTTCATCTTCAGCCTGAACTTGCGTATGAGCAATAGGTTGTCTTATCCACAGTCTGTCCCTGGCCTTGTTTTGGATGATGATATGGAGCTTTTCTACCATCTCTTTCCACAGATGTAGTTAACTTAATTTCTGTGTATTCCATCTGGTGAGGTCCAAGTGTATAGTCATCTTTTATGTTGTTTAAAAAAGGCATTTACAATGACTAAGTCATTGGTCTTGAAAAATTCTGTCATATGATCTCCAACATAGTTTCTATCCCCAAGACATATTTTCCAACTATTGATCCTCTTTGTTTCCAACCATTGCATTCCAATCACCAGTAACTATCAATGCATCTTGATTGCATATTTGATCAATTTCAGATTGAAGAAGTTGGTAAACTTCAATCTCATCATCACTGACTTTATTGGTTGGTGCATAAATTTGAATAGTAGTGGTATTAACTGGTCTTTCTTTTAGCTGTATGGATATTGTCCTATCACAGACAGTGTTGTACTTCAAGACAGATCTTGAAATGTTGTTTTTGATGATGCATGTGATGCCATTCCTCTTCAATGTGTCATTCCCAACATAGTAAACCATGTGGCTGTCAGATTCAAGATAGCCAGTGTCAGTCCATTTCAGCTCACTAGTGCCTAGGATATTGATATTTAAATGTTCCATTTCACTTTTGACAACTCCAGTTTTCCTAGATTCATACTTCATACATTCCATGTTCTGATTAATAATTTTTTACAGTTGTTTCTCATTTTGAGTTGTGCCCCATCAGCAAATGAAGGTCCTAAAGGCTTTACTGCATTCTTGTCATCACAATCAACTCTACTTTGAGGAGGCACCTCTTCCCCAGTCATATTTTGACTGCCTTCCAACCTGAGGGACTCATCCTCCATCACTATAACTGACAATATTCTGGTTCTCTTGATCATCTTTCAATAATCAATATTCTGATGGTATGTGACAGTCTATAAGGTTCTCAGTGACTAAATATTCAGAAGTATTCTGCCTCCTTCCTCCTAGTCTGTCTTTCTCTGGAAGCTCATCTGAAAACAGTCCACCATGGATAACCCTGCTGGTATTTAAAATAATAGTGGCATAGCTTCCAGAATCACAGCAACATGCAAGCAACCACTTTACAACAAACTGACAGATTACTGGTGGTGTTATACCCCAGGATGAGATCTGATCTAATATAATTAATTCTACGATGGGATCTGTTATGAGCAGTCAATCAGTTGAAATGTCCTTGTGGTTGTGGCCTGTTTTTGACTCGGCTCTGATCTCTGGTTCTTTGGAAGTGGCCTGCTCTATTACATGCCTAGCCTGGGAGTTTTTAGCAACCTGTCAGCCCTGCCTGCCTACCTGCCTTCTGACCTGCTGATCTTGGTTCATCAGCCCTGCAGCCTGACATTTAACCCCCAAACTTGGGACTGACCACCTCTACAATTGTGTAAACCATTTCCTTGATATTAATTTCTCTTTGTTGTTTTTGTTAAGTGCCCATTGAGTCATTTCTGAATCATAATGACCCTGTATAGGGTTTCATAGGAGCATCCGGTAAATTTAACCTGCTGACTTGTGGTTCATAGCCCAGCGCTAATCCTACAGAACTAGTACTACACCTGGCTTCACTGGTTTTGCTTTTTTAGAGAACCCAGCCAAAGACATCACAGAATTGATAAATAATCTGTGGTATTTAGTATAGTTTAATATAATCATATTTAATATAATGTAACACATGGCAAATACAAAAACAGATGGATTCCAACTAAGAACATCAGCCTGCATTTGTTGCGGGGATCACATTATTGAGGTTTAGCATTCTTTGCAAACATTATTTCTTTCTGCCCTATCAAAATATATAAAAATAACTATAGTAAATCAGATTTTGCAGAACATGAAACTGAGTCTTATCAACAGTACATAATTTCCCTCTAGTTGGTGGGTGAGTGACGGACCCAAATCATTACCATGCAGATCCCACTTAGCCCATGCAGCCTGTAACTCAGGACACCACATATTCCTCCCCAGACTCAAGGCTCACAGGGGCATATTTTGAAACTGTAGAGGCTTCCAGTTTGCATTTTCAGTTTTGCTAAACCCTATTGCTTATTTTCCTTCATGGGTTAATCACACTCCATATTTTACTTCCAAATCCTGACATTTTTGTCATACAAGTTTATTTTACTTTTTTAAAGAAATTGAAATCATTTTCTGGTACAAATTAAAAGAAACAATGAAGAATGAAGAGGAGAAAAGCTGAGAGTGAGGGGAGGAGTGGAAAGAGAATGGAGAAAAAAAAATCATGTTTTCCAAATATGATGTTAAAAATGCAAAAATTATCTTATAAAGTGGATTGGGACAAACATATATTTAAAAAATTAGATAGTACAATAACATTTTTTTCCTGATTGGTAAGACTATATAGAAATATAGGGTGAAGAATTATGCAATATGCAAATACCACCAGACTTCCTGTTCCCTAGAAGATTTTCTAAACACTGTTGTTGATTTTACCAAATATAATATCCCAAATTAAAAATGTATCACATGGATACCAAAGGTACCCAAAACTTTGAGGTAGGAAATCTGAGCTCAAGTTCTTTAGTGAAAATCAGCAAATCAAATTAAAATGAGAAAAAAGTTAAATGCAAACATATTTTCCAAAAAGGCAAAGCACAGTCTAAATAGAAAACCAGGTTAGCCAGCCATCTACTCTGCATCAATGCTTTAATTACTTGTGGGAAAAGAACAGAAAGGAACAACTTATGCTCCAGGAATCCTTTGAGGCAAATAACTCTAGATGTGAAAAAGAGTTATAAAACAGCGAAATACAGTTAGACATTCTCAACCACATAAAACAGGGGGTAGGAAATTGACTGAGTCCCTGGCTGGTACAAATCATTAACACACTCAACTGCTAAC